GGCGCTCGCCGTCCCCTCCGATCCCCTCCTCGGCTTTGGGATCCACGAGCACGTACTTCCGTCGCCTGCAGTACTCGCCCCGCCCGCAGCCCGCAGGATCTTGGCAATCTGCCTGACGTGGTTATCCTTCGTCGCCTTCCTCTTCGAGTGCACCCACCTGTGCAACTCCGCCTCGTCCTTGTACACGAGGGCCACGTAGTGGTTCGCCTCAACACCGATGTGGATCGGCCGTACCTTTCTCGCCTCTTGCAGGTCTTTCTCCTCGAAGGGCTCCACTACGACGAGCACCCGCCAGCCCTTCGCTTTGTCCCCCTCCTTCTTCTCGTGCCACTGGTGCACCACCACGACTCGTTGCAGAACTTCAGCGGCCGCAGCCAGCCCCGGGCCATCGACCCATCTTTGCGGCCTCTTGAGCGCCTCCAAATATTCTGCCCAGTTCTTGGGGCACGCGCCCCCCTCGATGTTACTAGCTCCGAGCGACCCCTGGATGGATGGCCAATACGCCTCAAAGCGCTTGGAGTGCATCCTGATTTGGGTCGTGGCGTTCACCCTCATCGTGCGGGCCAGCGTCTGGGCCTTGTCTGCCACCTCCTGCATGCTCTTTCCTTTCGACAGCGCGTATTGCGCCGCCATGGCCCGATACCCGCAATCGGCCCCATCGGTGCCCCAGTCGAAAGCCTTGAAGGTGTCGTCCTCCAGCTCCGTCCTTTATTTCGCTTGCACTGTTTGTGCCTTAGCCTTCTTTGTCCGGGGCGCACCTTGCATCTCCTCCTGCAGCTGCGCCTCGAACTTCCTCCTCAGCTCCTCATCCTGCGTCTTCCTGGCTTCCTCTCTCCTCTTCTTTGCTTGCACCTTAGCGTCACCTTCTAGCGCGTCGTCCTCTGCATCCTCCTGCTGCCTTTTGCTGGCGCGCTCCCGCACGGCATCCAGGTATCCCTTGCCGGCGTTGGTGGCACGTGCTTCTTCGCTGTCGATCGCTATGGACTCCGCCTCCTCCTCATCAACTTCCATCGTCTTAGCTGTCTGCTTTTCCTGGCTTCCTCCCACAGCTCCTCCAGTCTGTCCTTTGCCTCCCTCGTCCTTCCTGCTGGCTGCCCCTCCCTGCGCCTCCGGCCGCGCTGCTGACGCGTCCGGCTGTGGCGGCTTCCATGTCCATGGTCGGCACGCCGTCGGCTGCTGCACGGTCCCCTGGGGACCACCGCGTACGTAGCGTTGAACCATCACCTCGGTGCCGTCCAGCTGGATGGTCCACGCCTCCTGTCCTTGTCCACTGGCTTGTGGTTGCGACTCGCCAGGACGTCCTTTGAGGAGCCATCCCAGCCGTCCTGACGGCGGGGCGAGAATCTCCAGGTGGGACCATCCCGCGGCGGTCAGCCACGCCGTGACCTCGCACGCCGCCCACCAGCGGTGCAGGTTGAGTATCCGCCACGTGGGGGATCTGAGGTCCGCGGGCTCCACGCCCCTGAGGCCGAGATCGCTTCCGCCGCCCTGTCGAAACGCCAGGCCTTTGGAGCAGCCCAGCTTCTCCGCCTCCTCCAGGGCCCGTCTGAGATAGGCCATGTCACTCTCTTCCTTGTTGCGGTCGACGAAACGCACCGGTTCCACTGCCGCCTTTCTCTCCCTTGCCAGCGTGTGGAAGAAGATGCCCCTCTGTCCTCCCTTGGCGATGGCCTGGTCCACTCCTTCCTTCCTCATCTTGATGTAGCCTGTGACGGCTGTCACGGAGCCACCCCTTACCTGTTCCCTGAAACCCTCTGCCGTGATGATCGTCGATCTCGTGAGCTCCCGTGTGGAATACTCCTCGGGTCTCTTTCTGGCTCCTTTCCACTCCTCCTCTGTCAGGTACTTCTTGAGAATTTGTACCCGCAGCGTCGTGGCCTCCTGCTTCTCGGGTCCAGCCGGTCCCGGCCGAGCCTCTGCGACTTCGGGCCCGATGGTCGAAAGAAGCGGGTGGATCCCCATCTTCTTCAGTCCCGGCTTCCCCTCCCTGAGGATCGGGACGGTCTTCAAAGGTCTTTCTGCTGTCTCCTCCTGATCGTGGACCACCAGCGTGAAGGGCTTGGTGATCCCGTGCGCAGCCGCGAGGTCCGTGAGCTTCTGCCGCTGGCTCTCCTTGACCACCGCTACGCTTTCTGTCGGCACCTGCCCTCCTTCGAGCTGGTCTTGGAGCTGTGAGGCCGACATGAAAGTATGCTGCCCCCATGCTCTCTCATCCACCCTCCATTTCTTACTTGCCCCTGCCTGCTCCCTCATAGGTCCTTGCTCTCCTCCCTCCCGCTGTCCTGCCAGCCTGGACTTCTGGTCCTTGACGAGGCGGTCCAGCTTGTCCAGCAGGATGGATTCCTCTTCATCCCCTTTTAGCTTTTGCAGCTCGTTCTTCAAGATGGTGACCAGGCTTTTGTCACCTGGCGGAGCCTCCTCCGCCGTCGTGGCTGCCGGCCTCCTCCTCCACGGCTTTCTTGGCCTCCGGGGCTGGGTTGCCGACCCCTTTGCCATCGCCCTTAGCGTCTTTGCCAAAACCTCCATCAGATGCTTCTCCTCCATCTTCCTCAGCTTTGCTTTCTTTCCTCCTGCCCCTCCCCCGGCACGTAGCTCCTTCCACCTGCGCCCATTCTGGCACTGGCTCCTCCTGCGCCCTTACTTGCTGCCCTCCTTCCTCACATCGCCCTTCCTGCACCTCAACCTCCTCGCTTTGCCCTTCTCCCTGCCGTGCCCTGGCCCTGAAGCTCCGCAATGACAAGCTGGGCCAACAAGACGTCGAGGGCCAGCGGGCCCACGTGTACATCCTGCTTTGCTTCCTCCTCCTCCTCTTCCTCCTGCAAAACCGCCTCCTCCGTACCCTGATTGCCGTCCATCGTACCCCAGCACGTACGACAAGACACTGGACGAATTCACTGCTGTCCCAAGATCCCAAATTGCTTGAAACTCTGCCCCTTGGTGACTTCCCCAAATCACGAATTCCCAGTCCCAGCTGCTCGAAGAACAAGGTGAAACAATAACATAAGTACTGCATCAGACAACCCCAAAGAGTGACGTGAATTCCGTGCATATCCTCATGCGCTGCCGTCCTATGGTTCCCCACTGGACTTGCTGCGCCTCCCGCCTTTCGACAGGTGCAGTTCTTTTCGAATCCCGTCCGCCGAGAGGAGCCTTCGCCCTTCTCCCCCATACCCCTAATGTTTCCGGCCCTCCTAACTTAGGTCCCCTCCCAGAGGGTTGGGGGTCCTGTCTTGTTTCGTCGGGAGGGGGGAAGACTTCTTAGAAGCGCCCTGCCTCTTAGGGGGCGCGGGCCTCATCTGCAGATGTAAGGCGGGCGCCTTCTGAGGAGCAGCTCTTTTCTAAGGTCAAGCAGTGGCGAAACGTCCCCGCTCGCCTGTAGGCCCACCAAAGAATGTCCTAAGAACCTTTTGTGGTCTGCACAACATGTTCTTAGAACATTTCTGGCTGAGACTGGCTTGTTTTAGCGCATCGGGTTCATGTTCTAATAACTTGGATTTTGTGATTCGAACATGTTTGGGTTCTAAGACAAATTCGTGGTAGGCCTATAAGAATGCCGGGACGGTCGGTCCCTGCCCAATAAGGGGCCTTCCCCCTCCCCCTACACGCCCTGCTGCGCGCCGCCGCCCGGGCCGCCGAGGACTCTGCCGGGGGCCCAGGGGGGACGTGCACACCCCACAGGCGGACCGAGGCTTCAGTCGGACCTGTCCCTCTACAGGAGGACTATTCAAACATAGTCCCAGAATAGTCTCGGGACCATCTCCCGACTAGTTTTTGGATTTTTTGAATATTTGTAGGGTACGGTTCTGGTTTTTCGTCCAAAATCCGCCTGTAGGGGGACACGCCCAACCTAAACCGAGGCATCAGAGCGAGGTCGGCTCGAGGAGGGTACCCTGACTCGAAGGAGGGGAAACACGGTATAAACATAAACTTTTGGCGCACCGCGCGGATTTCTTGGATCCGCGCCAGGCCCCCCCAGCGGCGCCTCTGGCGCCGCCCCTGGTGCCATCCGCGCGCCAGGAAGGGGGGTCCAAAGAAGTTCGCGCGGAGCGCCAAAAGTTTATGTTTATGGTGTGTGTTCTTCTTCTACTGACGTTTTTCGTGCTTGTTGGCTGTTCTCGTGCATCCTGGGGGAGGGCATCCTCGTACCCCCTTGTGCGCGCCGCCAACATTCAGGAGGGAAAAAACACACAGACACAATGAATTGTCGATTTCCAGCGGAAAATAGGAACATATGGGAAGTGGGGGGGAAGACGACCCCCCAGAAAATATTATGAAATGTTGGGAATCCTGGGACTTTTGTGCATTTATGTGTGTGTATGTGTGTGTGTACCTGGGCCCATTTACTCGTGCGCGCCGCCAACATGGCTTGGGTGGGGGGACGCCAGCTGCACATCTACCGTGCCGGTCCCGGCCAGGCCCCTTCTGGGCAGGATCGTCGTGGCGTGCAGTGCGAGGCTGGCGTCCTCCGACCAGGGAGGCCAGAACGCTGGGATTCCAATGGTCTTCGAGGTCCCTCCGCGGGAAGTGGCCATGGGAAAACCCAAGTTCGGCGGCGAGCAAGGGGGGGAAGTGAGAAGGAGAAGGCCCTCTCAGAAGGCGGCGGGACTTCTCAGAAACCCTCGCGCCTTCTGAGAAGTTTGCTGCGTCTTCGGAGAAGGCTCAGAGAACTTCTTGGAGGCCTGGGGAACTTCCGAACCTTCAGCCCCCCCTCAGATTCCACCTGGGCTGGCCGCCGACTCTGGGGAACCGATGGTCCCTCCCGGGGAAGTGGCCATTGGAAGACCCTAGTGTTGAGAATAGATTGGGGCTTTCATTTACCCTGCGAGGCACCCGTCGCAGCTCAGCCTGTAGCCCAAGACAGCGCATCCAAGAGGGAACCGCCAGAGCAGCTGCTGGGAATGTCTGAAACAGCATGTAATGCGGCGCCGTGGCGGGCCCTCTAGTCTCGAGTCAGCCACGTGGCTTTGGCAGTCTCCAGAAGCCCCCCATTTCAAAACCAGGTGGTCATGAACGGCGCCGGCGGTAACCTCGGGGCGATCTTTTGCTCCAAGTTGTCCACCGACCTCCTGGTGGCCGGGAGTCATCATTTTGCATCGTCCTCGTCTTCGTCCTCGTCGTCGCTGTCGGCAGCTTCTGCTCCTGCTGTTATTGCTGCTGATTTTCCTCCTCATGGGGTGAGGACGTGAGTGAGGAGGACAAGGAGGACGAGGAGGAAGAGGAGGAGGAGGAGGAGGAGGAGGAGGAGGAGGAAGAGGAGGAGGAGGAGGAGAGAGGAGGAGGGAGGAGGAGGACGAGGCTCCTCCTTCTCCTCCTTCTCCTTCTCCTTCCCCCCCCTTCCTTCCCCTCCCTTCCCTTCCCTTCTCCTCGTTCTCCTCCTCCTCCTCCTCCTCCTCCTCCTCCTCCCCTCCTCCTCCTCCTCCTCCCCCTCCTCCTCCTCCTCCTCTCTCCTGCTCCTCCTGATGCTCCTCCTCCTCCACCTCCTCCTCTCCTTCATCTCCTCCTCCTCCTCCTCCTCCTCCTCCTCCTCCTCCTCCTCCTCCCCCTCCCCCTCCCCTGCCCTCCCTTCTGTTGCAGTTGTTGCTGCTCCCTTCTCTGGCTCGGCAGGTGGCCCAGAGGGAGCAGACGCCCAAAGCGACCAGGCTCACGTTGCCAGGCGAGCAAGCCGACGAGATGCAATCCTTGCTGCTCCTCGTTGTTTTCTGAGGAGGAGGAGGAGGAGGAGGAGGAGGAGGAGGAGGACGGCGAGGACGAGGACGAGGAGGAGGGAAGGGATGAAACGGAGGAGGAGGAGGAGGAGCAGGAGGAGGAGGAGGAGGAGGAGGAGGAGGACGGGGAGGATGGGCAGGAGGAGGAGGAGGAGGACCACGACGATGGGAATAGAGAAACACTGGACGAGGAAGAGGGAACTTAAGTAAGAGGACGAGGAAGGAGGGCAGAGGATGAGGAATGAGAGGGATGAGAGGAGGAGGAGGAGCAGGAGGAGGAGGAGGAGGAGGAGGAGGAGGAGGAGGAGGAGGAGCCGCCTCTGCCCAGAGGTTCAGGTGGATCTCGGAGCGGATTTTCGCGTCTGGGTCCTGTCGAGATCTTTTCGGCTGCAGCTTGTATGTGTATATACCGTGATTCACATACATATATTTATGTATGCGGCCAGACTGCATGACAAGAAACACCATGTGTTTCGTCAGGGTGCCCTGAGTTTCCTCGGCTTGAGTTCGGCGTGGAAGGTTGTAGCAATCTCGACGAAAGAAATTGCAAAGTACTCTGGATTTCTTGGGCGTCGGCGCGTTTCGGAGCACGCGCCCGAACTTCCAGGAAACTTCCAGGCTTCCCGGGCACCTCAGGTTTCTTCGCCCGCCACTCGGAATGTTCGCCTCGCGTTGCCCACCCATTCGCGGGCGCTTGCCGGTCTGGTAAAGTGGCGCCGGCACATTTCGGGGCGCATGCCCGAAAGCCCAAGAAATTGGCAAGTTTTCATGATGCCTTGGGTTTCTTCGCCCGCCACTGCGTCTGTTCCTCCGCGCAGCGCATGCGCTCGCGGGGGCTCGTCAGTCTGGCATGGGAACCCTGGCGCATTCGGGGCGCCACCCGAGAGCTCAAGAAAGTGACTGCGCGTAGTGTACCGTAGGTTTCTTCGCCCGCCACTTCGTCTGTTCCTCCTGCGCAACACGCGCGCTCGCGGGGGATCAGCAGTGTGGCAAGCGGCCTCTGGCGTATTCGGGGCGCGCGCCCGAGAGCCCGAGAAAGTGACGGGCATTCAGGGTACGTTGGGTTTCTTTGGCCCCCCGCTGCGTGCGGGCGTTGGCGTGACGCGGTGGCCCTTCTCCTGCGGGGAGAGCATCGGCATCGACATCGGCAGATGCATCGCCGGCCCAAGCATGGCGCGAAACTGTTACACTTGACATGAGGAGGCTCTGCCTGTAAATGTTGCCTTTCTGACCAAACTTCAAGGAGCAGTCACCGTCGCACCGCCGACTTTGCTGGGCAGTTGCGGTCTGTCCATCTATCTATCTACATGTAGCCCCCCCGTCGCCGTCGCATCGATGCGTCTGCGAATTTTGTGTCCATTTATCTGCCCATCCCTGGGAACTGTCGCACCTTCGGCTTGGCTTGACTGATGAAGTTATGTGCTCCCACCGATCGTCGTTGCACTGCCGCTCATTCGCATTCCAGTTTTTGTTTCTGTCCATCTGTCTGCCCGGCCCTAGGCGCCTTCGCATCGGCCGGTCTGCGCGTTTATGCGGTTATCTGTCATTAAACGCGGTACTTCAGCGTTGGGGGCTCCTGGCTTTTCCCAAAAGGTTCTCTCCGAAGCACTTGCGGGGCTTCTGGTGGCCGCGGTGGCCTGTGGCCGTCGTGCTCAATATTGTTCAGAATATTAAATCCGCCACGTTTGTCTGGGCAGCGAAATCGATGCCCAGCGGGGACCGACTGGATTTCCAAGTGAACATGGATTCAGTTTATGATTTTTTTGACCAGTACAGAAAGCCCCACGCGCGCGTGCTCGCGATGCAGCTTTCCGTCTTAAGTCACCGTGATGGTTTCGCGAAACTAAAGGGAGCCCTTAGCGGTGATTTATTTGATTTCCAAGCCAACAAACGTTCTTGAGTCTGGTCTTTGAAATGAGCGTACAGAACGCTCCGCGCGCGCGGACGCGCACGGGTGACCATGGTCACCCGCGCGCGCGCGCGGTCGCGCAGCGTTCCGTCTTGTCCGGAAGCACAGACGCCATGCTGGTTTGGGAAAGGAGGTTAATATTTAGGGGGACCGATCTTATTTCCAAATTAACATGGCATTCCTTGCATAGTCTGTATTATTGATAAGACAGAACGCTCCACGCGCGAGGGCGCGTGCGCTTGTGAAGTGGTCCGTATTCCCAGAGTACAGAAGTCGTCATATTTGCCTGGATGCGCATGTGAACCCGTATCCGTGACCGATTGGAGGTCCATGTTAACGCGGGTTTTGGTGTACGTCCTTGGACAATATCGAACGCTCCACGCGCGCGTGCTTGTGCGCGGCGTGGTGTAGCGCTCGCAAGAATAAACTCCTACTGGCGGTGACCCATGGGATTTCCGAGTCAATATGGGTTGTGGCGCGTGCTTCCCAGCTTGGGCGACGCAGAACGCCCCGCGCGCACGTGCAGCGTCGTGAATTGCCCAAAAGGGTGAAGCTGCAACGTTGCCCTGCGATCTAGACTGAACCCTTTGTTGCGGCGACCGATTGGGCCCCCAATTGAGCATGGTTCTGGCGTGCGTTTCCGCTCGCGGACAACGCAGAACGCCCTGCGTTCGCGGTCCCTGGTGCGTGTTTCCCGCCGTGGACGATGCGACGCGCTCCGACGTGGCCGCGGTGCCTTCTTTGGTACCTTGAGAGACCCAGGGGGGCCTGATCTCCGAGGCGGGAATTCATACATGACCACCGCCTGGAGGGTCAGTTTTCGGAGACTCGGCAGGCGGTGGAGATGGACCTATTCGGGCCCCCGGGGGCCGAACCATATACCCATATCCACCGCCCGCTGGGGCACCAGGACGTCGGTTCCCAGGCGGTGGATATGGATCAATCCCCGCCTCGCATGATCGCGCTGAGCTGTCTTCAGACCGCCGCCAGCTGCCGCGCCTGCGGCATGTCCACCGCAGGCTGGGCCCATTTGTCAGACCCCTCTCCGTCGCCGTCGCGCCGCGCGTGGCGCGTGGGAAATTGCATCTGTCGTGGCCCCGCCGGTCGCCGTCGCGCCGATGGCCAGGCCAGCATGAGCAGTTGTTCGCTGTCCACCTGCTTGGCCACCACCCCTTCGCCGTCGCGCCTCGCAGAGGGAGCTTCGGAACCAACACACGCGCTGTGCCGCGATGGAAGATCGTCCACTTTTTGACGCGCCGGCGCAGCTTGGGTCGGAGGTGCCCCGCCCAGCGCGCGGAGCCTGGCGCGGCGTGACGGGAGCGGGGCTGCGCCGGCGGGGGCGGGCAGCCTCGGGCATGCACCCCTATTTGAATTTTTTTAATGGGTTAAAACGGGATGGCGGTTCGAAAACGGCGAACCGCGCGGAGTTCATCCCAAAAAAGGCTTGAACCAGGTGCGGAAGCCGGTCGAAACAATAAAAGTCGCGTCGACACAACAGAGATTTGAGCGCTTGGTACAGGACTTCCTCGAAAAGCAGGTTCGAACCAGGTTCGAAGTCGGTTCGCAGCAATAAGTGAGCGTTTCGCGCGGGACTTTCCCGTCGAACCAGGTCCGAACTCGAGCGTTTCTCGCCGCGGCGGCAGAATGGATCCACATTTTAATCACGCCCATGTAACGTCGATCTGTTGCGGCCTCGCTGGTCGCTGTCGAGCCGCCAGCCAGCCCGCGCGTTCGCGCGCTGTCCATTCTGCAGTCACGCCGAAACAATGTGCCCAGCGCGTGCTTGACTTTGCTTGTCCACGGCGCGCCCGTCGCACGTCGCACCATTCAACTCAGGCCTTGAAAGGTCCGCGCGGCGAACATAGTTTGCTGCTTCGCGCAGTTTGTCCGCGACGGATCCGTCGTCGCCGCGCTGGCGAGGTGAAACTCCCTCATTGCTTGGTAGAGGGACGTGCCACTTTGTAATTGCCATTGCTTGCCCATGGTCCACCGATGGCTCAGTGGCCGAACCATGGCCTACCAGTTGCCTGCCCATGGATGCAACTGTGGCTGCAACCATGGTCTGCCCATTGGCTACCCATGGGTGCCCATGGCCTACCCATGGCCTGCCCACGGCATGCGCGCGGGCCACCCATAGCTTACACATTGTCTCCTCGTGGCCTGCCCCTGGCCCACCCATGACCTCTCCGCGGTCTGCCCATGGCCTGCCCATGACGGTGCCCACGGCCTGCTTTTGGTCTACCCTGGGCCTGCCCTTGGCCTGCCCGTGGCCTACCCGCGGCGTGCCCACGGCCCACGCTGTGACCTACGCGTGGCCACTTGCACCGGTGCGACCGATGCCCACAGTCGCTGCGCGCCCGGAGGCCCGAGAGACTGGCAGGTATTCGTCGTCGTCTTCGTCGTCGTCCTCGTCGGCGGCCGCCATTCTGGCAGGTATTTGTCGTGGTCGTCGCCGTCCTCGTCCTCGTCGTCGTCGTCGTCGTCGTCGTCGTCGTCGTCGTCGTCGTCTTTCGATTTTTTCATGCGTCTTTCCACTGCCGGGCAGCGCCGCTGTGGAGCGCCACCCGGGCGGGAGGCCCCGTGCCGTACAGGGAGCCACGCGCGGAGGCGCCGTGGCCGCGAGAAGCGCGGGGAGGAGCGGCGCTCGAGGAAGTGCCCAGCGGCAGCCCCTCGGCGGCGAGCGAGGGGGGGGGGGAAGCGAGGATATCAGAGGCGACGATAGGGGCGAGTAGCCCAGGGGACAGCAATACGTGTAGTCTTGAATCGGGCGTGTCCCTCTACAGGAGGAATGTTCAAGGATAGCGAAACGATGATGTGGGGATTCTTTTTTGAGCAGTTTTTGTAAATGTGGGGGCATGTTTTGATGAGTTTTGTTTTTCGTCCAAAATCCCCCTGTAGGATGACAGGCCCGACTTAAAGATGTAGTCAGGTGCGCCGATGATCTGTGTCTTCGAAGAGGCTCCCAGGCGAATGCGTGCAATGGCCCGCCCCTGGGCTATCCGCCCTTTACGGTCGCCGCCGAGAATAGGGGAACGAACAATGACACAAACATAAAGACTCGGAGGTCCGCGCGGCGGGTCTCTCGGATCGGCGCTGGAACCCCTTTGGCGCGCTCCGCGCGCCAGGAAGGGGGGTCCAGCGCCGATCCGAGAAACCCGCGCGGACCTCCGAGTTGTATGTTTGTGCATTTTCCCCTAGAGGAGGAGAAAGCCTTCTCAGAAGGCGGCCAGACTTCTCAGAAGCCCTCGCGCCTTCTGAGAAGTGTGTGGGGGTCTTCGGGGAAGGCCCAGAAAACATCTCAGAAGACTGGGGGACTTCCGAACCTTCTGAGAAGGCCTTCTCCTTCTCACTTCCCCCCTCGCTCGCCGCCGAGTCTGGTCTTAAACAAGGATGTGCCTACATCCGTACAAGCGTTAATTAAAGCAATCTCCTAGATCTACTCATCCGCATCGCGGAAGTCTCGAGCGACAGTCCAATTTTACGTTTTTGGGCAATCGATTCTAAGGAAGTCTCAATCGAGTTTCACGTTTTGAAACGAGCTGGCCTCTATCCTTCTAGCTGCTGGAAGCTTTTAAAACGAATGCGTGCGGTGTGAAGGCGAAACCCGCATGTTGAAAGCCACTCACGTTGTCCGTGTAATTGATTGTTTACCAGAAAGCGCGCGGCGCTAAAGCGAGAGCCGGATTCGGAACATGTGCCGGTCTCCATCCTTCTAGATGTTGGAAATGTTGACAACGAATGTGCGGAGTGCCAGGGTGGGAGCCGCATTTCGAAAACCATTGGCTCTCCATCTTTGCAACGTAAAAGCTTTTGGGCTTCATGGAGGCAGGTCCTTAGGAAGTCTCAGACGAAGCACCCAGCCACGGACGCGTCTAGTGATGCGAGGGCCTAGACCATCTTCAAGGATGACTCACGGCGGAGGAGGATCGGACGGGGCTAGGATGAGGAAACGCTCTCAGAGCGTTCCGGAACGCTCTGAGAAGACCGCGGCGCCCGAGGCATTTTCCAGAGCCCCCGGATCTCAGCGATTCTTGATTCATCCTCGCCCGGTGTACTCTTCTTGGCTTTGTTTTAGTGTGCTGCCAGAGCTTTTCGAAGCTCCGCGTAGGTTCCCGCCAGGCCTCCCGCGCAGGCTTCTGCGACACGGGTCCCACGCAGGCTTCAGAAGCCCTCCTTGGCCTCTTCGCAGAGATGGAGCAAGAGGACAAAGAGGAGGAGCACGAGGACGAGGGTGAATAGGAGGATCAGGAGGAGGAGGGATGATGCAGGATGAAGATGCAGGGGAGCTAACAGGGAGATGAGGAGAGGAGGATTGGGGTGAGGAGGAGGAGGAGGAGGAGGAGGAGGAGGAGGAGGAGGAGGAGGAGAAGCAGGAGGAGGAGGAGGAGAAGCAGGAGGAGGAGGAGGAGGAGGAGGAGGAGGAGGAGGAGGAGAGCAGGAGGATGAAGACGGAGAGAGTGAGCAAGATGATGAGGAGGAGGAGGAGGAGGAGGAAGAGGAAGAGGAGGAGGAGGAGGAGGAGGAGGAGGAGGAGGAGGAGCAGGAGGCTCACCAGGAGGAGCAGGAGCAGCAGCAAGAGGGGCGGTCGCCAGGCTCCCCCCCGGGATGTCAGGCCCTTCTCGGCTCATGAGCAAGACGCTGCTGGAGGAGAGCCAGATGTCGAGCAAGAGACTGCTAGACGAGGCCGGATTGCCGAGAACGAGTCTGCCAGGCACCGCGGGCGAGCCCGCGCGTTTTTCTCTCGTCTTTTCTTTTCTCTCACAGGAGGGCCCAGGCTTTCTGGGCGCGCTGCAGCAGACCGGCGGCTGCTCTTTCAGATTCAGGGCTTCGGGAAGCCTGTCTCGTTCCGTAGCAAGTCATGGGAGATTGGTATACCTTTTTAATTCCGCTTTTAACGTCGGTTAGTGTCTGGGAGTCGGTGAGGCAGCGTCGATTTAGAGTCGTTCAGCGTCGATTTAGCGTCGATTTAGCGTCGATTCGCCAGAGCCGACAAAATGATATGAGAGGTTCCCATGAGTTGCCACCGAACGTCTCGGGACCCCAGACCACGCCAAAACGCCCCGCGACGAAGCAGGTGTCGCACGGGTCGAGCGCTCCAGGGACCCACGGATTGAGACAATCACGCTGCCAGACGTCCAGGGGAGGAGGGAAGAGGTCGGAGGAGGAGGGAGGGGTACGCATACAGCTGCCCTTCGCCGGTCTTCTCCTTTTCGGGCCTCTTGGGAGGCCTTCGTCGCCACCTTTCGGTTTCCCCAGAAGGGATGAGGTGGTGAGGAGGGGAATGGGAGGCGGGAGGAAGGAGGGAGGTCCCTCTCACCCCCCCTCTCCTCTTCTCATCATCTCTCTCTCTCTCTCTCTTTCCCTCTTCTCTCTCTCTCTCTCTTTCCCTCTCTCTATATGTGTGTATCGCTTCCTGCCCACCCTTCTCCCCTCTCTCTTCGCCTCGTCCGCTGCGTTGATGTCGTGACGCGGCATCCTTCTCCTCCAGTGTCTTTTCTAACATCCATCGTTGCCTTTCCCTTCCATATGTAGTTGCACCAGCTTCCTGATAGGATCACACGCGTGGCCTGCCGTTGGAGTAATTACTTTCTGTATCTATCAACACTCAGTTTCAATTGTAGTCCAAAGCGGCATAGGGATTCGAAGCGTTCTGGGTCAGTGCAACCACATTCGTCGCGCCGCGTAATTTCCCGAGCCGTTGACCGCGCGTCCATGTGCATTACACTGGAAACCCATGCCCAGAAGCACCTTGCTTGCCTCCAGGGTGCCCTGGGCTTCTTGGGCTTCCATGGTTTTGCCACGGAAAGCGCGACGTTCCCACTCCCACTTTAAAAAAACAATGGACGTCATGGGGTCTCAGGGTTGGGTTTCTCGTGGAAGGTTTCTTGTGGTCGAGTCCCTACTGCATGGGTCGAGTGCACTGTTGCGACTCAGATCACATCCGAGCTTGTAGTTTCGCTCTTGGCTGAAGGAGTCAAGCCGAGGTTGCCCACCAGCGCTCGGCCTCCCGGCCGCTCCTCGCCCCACCCGCCAGCACGTGTCGTGTGATGACGGCTGGAACTCGCTGTATCTCGATGTCGTCGTCGCCGTTGCCTGTCGGCCTCCTCTCCCCAATGCGTCTCGAAGCTTATGTTGTTCCCATCGTACTTAAGGACCACATCCCAGAAATAATTCCGAGCAGCCAGGAAAGTATCGAAACAGTGCATACCCGACAAGTTAGCGAGCTTGTCGGACGAGTGCCGCCTCCCCGGGCCCGACCCGTGAAAGCCCTCCAGTGTCGGCACTTTCCTTGCGCTCGAAGTTCGCTCTGGTGACCAAGGCGACGGTAGGTTGGGCGAACCTAAGCACTGTTGCAAATACGTAGTCGCACTAAGCAGAGGTCCGAAGCCAGAGACCCCGCCCCGTCCCCCCCTTCCACCCAAAACGTTCACCACTTGCTCGCGATCGTTTTCTCTTGTCTCTCTCGGGAGTGTTCCGCTTGGGCGAACCTGTCTCCTTTGGGACACGCGTGGTCAGAACCGGGACGCGCATGGCTGCATTCGCTCTCGTGGCAGTTGGCCGGGCTGCCCGCGGCACGTTCGGGGCCAGCGGGGGCTGGAGGGCCTCTGCTGCGCAGGCCCGGCAGCGAGGAGAGCCCACCCTTGCAGTCCTCGCCTCGAGAGCTCTGGGGGCCCCCACGGCGTGCGAGCGCCACGGCGGCGCTCCGCGGGTTCCTCCCCCCGCAAGCCTGTTGCCAGGCCCCTACAGGGCGCTGAGCAAGTCGCTGCCGTACATGGGGCACCTCAAGGCGATCCACTCACGGCCGCACCTGTGCGTCCAGACGAGCTGGGTCCACATGGCCGACGAGAAGGACTACCTGTCGGGCTTCGCGAGCATCAGCGCCCTGACGGGCGGCGGCGACATGAAGCGCTTCGCCAGGATGCTCCTGCTGCTGATTCTGCCCGGGCAGGCCAGTCCTGCCGCCGGGAACAAAAGGAGGGGGCGCGAGCAGCAGATTGGGCGAGACGGGCTGGGGCTGGTGTTAAGTCGGGCCTGTCCCTCTACAGGAGGAGTACTTAAAAATAGTCAAAAAATAGTCGGGGGACGATGTTTCGATTATTTTTTACTTTTTCGAGTATCCTATGACTATGTTTTTTATTTTCGCCTCGAAAGTCCGCCTGCAGGAGGACATGCCCGACCTCAGGCTGGTGAGGGGCGGCGGGAGCTGCTGGGGGAGGGGGCAGGATATTCGAAGCGGGGACGGCGCTCGGAGGCAGCGTGGAGGCTTGAATGCTATGGCAGGGTGGGGGTCATGGGGGCGTTGTCGATGACCCGCTGGCCCCGTGAGCACCCGCCCGGTGAGAGCCCCTGGCGGGCCTCAGGACGCCGCGCCCCACGTGCCGAAGG